CTTAACCGATTTTCTCAAATCTTAGCTCCAATTTCGGCCAGCCCTACTTTACCTTAGATATCCTCTTTCTTAATCCTATCATTGCTCCTATACCCACACATCTAACGAAGCATTCTCCTCTCGGCTACACTCATTTTTGCATGTATTGATACTTGGCCGCCTAACATTCCATACCACAAAACATTGATGGTCACCTTGTAGTTCTATAAAAAAAAAAATTATGTGAGCTTTAGTGGCATGCAACGGTCAAACAACACACTCGATGCACTCTTCCACTTCATCCATCCAACTTGTATTTTATGGTTGTAATTTCCATCTAATTCTCTATTATTTTGCAAGATAGATCCAATATATATAATGAAAGCATTCACTCCATATACTCTATCTTGACATACTTAGGTATACATTTAGATTCCAACACTACCTGCCAAAGGTTAAGCTTCACACTTAATCTTATTATTGTGTTTCATCTATCAAGGAATATCATCTTGAACATATCTCGTTATCTCATCCATTACCAATGCAAAAAAGGTAATGACTTCAAGTTGAGCCTTGGTGTAACCTTATGGTTTTGGGAAAGCTTTCAGTTTGTCCTTCACGGGGCCGACCCTGGCCCAGTGCGAGCTAAACAACCGTCCAAGGCCCAAAAAAATTGGGACACCAAAATTATTAGAGTGATATTTTCATATATGTTTTCATAAAAGTATAAATTTATAAAATTTGGTTAAATGACCAAGAAGTTTAACCATAATTAGTGGGTTTTGTTGTTTAAAATTAACATGGAGGTCCTGGGTTCAAAACTCTATGTGTGTTTATTTACTTTCCAATTTTTACGAATATCATTTCATAAGAATATAAATTATAGATTTTGGTTAAATAATCAAGAAGTTTAACTAGAAATGATTGTTTATGATGTTTAAAATTAATGAGGATGTTTTGGGTTTGAAATGCTATGTGCATTTTTCTACTTTTCAATTTTTACAAATTTCTTTTTATAGAGAATAAATTTATAAAATTTGTTTAAATGATCAAGAAATTTAATAAGAAGTAGTGATTTCTGTTGTTTAAAATTAATGAGTGCTCCTGCGTTTGAAATGTTATGTACATTTTTATTCTTTCTATTTTTTACACTTTTTGTTTGGTTGTTAATTTCTTTTTAATTACTACCGAGCGGTCCTTAAACAATAATCCAATCATCAACAATGACATCAAATGGTTTACAAAATTTGGTATCTCTACCATTATTAGCCTTCAAGAAATTAATGTATGTATGCCTTACCAATACTAGGTTTAATTTAGTGTTCATTCATTGTTTTTACATATCAATAAATGACTCGGAAATATGATTATTTTTTTTAGTTCCATATTGACAAGGTTAGTAAATAAGAAAAAAAAAACACCTGAGGGTTTATATAAAAAAGAAACACTTCAAAGATTTGAGAAATGCTAAGGAGACTCTTTCAAGGTGGGACCTTTCATGGACTCTTCATTACCTCATGTTTTTGGCACAATGTTTTATAGTGTTGGCACAGAAATTGCGCCAAAACCATAAGGTAGCGGAAAGTACATGGAAAGTCCCATTTTTGAGAGTCTCCTTAGCATTTCTCTAAAAGTTTAGATAGAAAGGAAACAAAACTCATCATCTATCTACTTTTAAGCCTAGGGTTTTTTGGTTCCCTTCTCTTAATATAAAATAAATTAGTTTTTTCTTATTTCTAAATTATTGAGTTTGAAGTGTTTTTTTGAATATAATTTTATCAAAGTCTTGTGTGTGAAAACAAATAATTTTTCTTATATGAAGTTGGACCACATTTTTTTGGCATTGCCCTAGGCCTCTCTCAGGACCAGGCCTGGTCTTTCATGAGTTCTTACTACAATCCTTGCTCTATCATACATATTATTTATTGCTCAGATATATGCTATTTGTATTCATTTCTTTCTAAAAATGTCCAAAGAATTTCTCTTGGGACAATAGTGTATTAAATTTTGAAAAAGAAAAATTTGCCAACACTAAAGTATATCACACAAACCAAACCATGTTCTCACCTGTGATACGGGGATTTAGTCATGCCAACGGATATAATCGAAGCTTCTGTTGATATTTTTTTGGTAAAATGAAGATTCATTTGATATTTAATTTGTTCTGAAAGCAAAACCCTAAATGGTGGTCCTCACCTAAAGTCATCGATCATCTAGAAGTCAAGAATTTGCACCTTTGTCTTTGGAAGTACGCGTTTGGTGTCCGCAATAAAATACTAAAAATTTTAAATTCCTTTCCCATACTTTACACGTTCTTGGAAATTCACTCCACCATATAACATATTAAAAATAGGTCCATACTCAAAAACTATATATAACACGCAACTCCTCCACCATTTCCACAAACAACTTCCCCCATTTTTCAGTTTCATCCAAGAAAACAAACCTACAAAAAACCAGAAAACCTTTCTTCCCACTTTCATATCAGAAAAGAAAAGGATATTAACATGGCTGAGAAAACCAACCAGGCCTATCCCTTGGCACCAGCAAATGGTTACACAAGAAGTGATGCAGAGTCTTTGCAATCAGCCGACGAGCTGAAACGCAAGAAGAGAACCAAGTTGGCCATTTATATTGGTATTTTCATTGTGTTTCAGATCTTGGTCATAACTGCGTTGAGTCTCACCGTCATGAAAGTTAAGACCCCTAAGGTCAGGCTAGGCAACATCAACATCCAAAACTTCAACTCTGCCCCTGCAACACCTTCATTCGACACTACATTTACAACCCAAATCAAAGTCAAGAATACAAATTTTGGCCCATACAAGTACGATGCTGCCATTGTCACGTTTTTGCACCAAGGTGCGACTGTCGGGCAAGTTTCTATTCCAAAGAGCAAGGCTGGAATGCTTTCAACCAAAAAAATTGACGTTGAGGTGAGCTTAAGTTCAAGTGCATTGAGCGGTACCAATCTTGGCAGTGAATTGAACAGTGGGGTATTGACACTCAACAGTGCGGCTAAGTTGACTGGAAAGGTTGAATTGATGCTTATCATGAAGAAGAAGAAGTCTTCCACCATGGACTGCACCATGGCATTTGATCTGTCATCGAAGACGCTCAAAAGTTTAAAATGCAAATGAAAACAACCAAGATTATTTCTTTGTATTCATGTTAAATATTTTCTGGAAATTTATTTTATTTTTGTTGGTATTGTTTTTATTTCAAAGTTGAACTGCTCGCTCTTTTTTTTTCCCCTTTTTTATGTGAACGTGATGCCATGATGATATAAGATTCAAATATCTAATAGTGTGTAAAAACCAACAGATACTCCAACTTGCAGTCTGTGAATAAGACTATAAAAAAAAAGTTTATGAAGTTGTCAAAATATTTATTCGAGAGATGACAGTGACCCCCTAATTTCCTCAAACCAATGTTTGTATTACAGGCCAACTTTAGTTGACTATAATTAAACACATAAAATGAACTTGTCAAATATATCTCAGGAGAGGACAAGGCATAAGCTGTGCACATGTAGCTGTTGAGTACATATTATGCATGTGGTCTTTATTTTGTCCAACTCAAAACGCCTCCCATGTCATATATGCCATTGTATGGATAATATAGTTTTGCTCTTCTTATCAAAATATCTAGCATATAATAGGGTGGCACGATCCATATTCTTTTTCACCTTTCACATATCCCTTTTAATTTTTGTCCTTTAATCCATCTTCAATTTATTTGATCCGACAGTCGAAATTGACAGAAATATGTGAAAGGCAAAAAGAAGTATTTAAATAACACCACTTCTATTATAGTCGGATTTTAATTTGACACAAAGGTCAAGAATTCTTTTGTTAGTCGACAATATAACATATTAAATTGTTTGGCAATAAAATTCTACTCTACTATGAAATTTTTCAAACCTAAGAAGCAAGAAGATGAGATGCCCTAAATTGGTGGGATCCTGAACGATTCACACCCAGCCAATGTACGGTATTTTATTAGTTTATGTGAAACATGTGGGCTGCTGGAAATAATGAGTTTCCTATTTTAATAGTTTGCTTATAAAGTGGTGAATAGGAAAAGCCAAGTATCTGTATCGTCTTTCGTTCATGAAAAATAAACTAAAATATAGTAAAATAATTAAAGGCCAAAGCATATTTAATTTTTTATTCGATCCTCAATATAGCTTTATTCCGAAGTTTTGATTGGATGGTATATGGTTAATTATTCTATAGTTGTGCATGATTAGGTGGGTTAGGAATAGGAAGGGCAACATGTGTGTTTACCATTGCATATATATATATATATATATATAATGAAGAGGCGTGAAGCAGACCTACTTCATGCGATAAATACAATGTAGAACATACCTGATGCATTCATGCGTCTGTGCTTGTTTTGGTTAGTTGTTGCATAAGAATTAAAAAGAACCTTGTATTCAGACCAAAAAGTAAGGTAAATTTATATTAAATACCAAGTTGGACATAGGATTTAAGAAACTGTATCATGTTTAAGGAAAATAAGTTCAATTACATATTTTAGGATAGGCCACAAACTTTATTGCAAGATGATCTATTACTAAATAAAAGATATGGCAAACTACCATTTTGTCCCACGCTTATTACTTTTAAAACTTTATAAGGTTCGATAGAGTCGAAGTTGACTTAAGTTTTAGAGTTTTAGTAGGTCCGTCAAGGTTTGGGGTTGATCATTTTAGATTTAAGATTTTAGAATGTCATTGGAGGATTTTAGGTCATCTTCAAACGAAAGAACTATGTTTAGTCCTTGTCCAGATTATAGCTCTGCAAGAAATTATTTTTTTAATAAACAGTATCAGATCATATTTATATACAATCTCAAACCGAATGAGCTTATTTTTAACTCCCTCAATAATTTATTATTTTAAGTTTATTATTTAATTTTATTGATTAATTGAATTAAACTACCATATTAAAATAAAACTTTCAAACATATTTTAAATGTCATTTGTCGGTAAATGAATAAGATTTTGAAAAGTCTTAAAAAGAAACAAGCAAATAGAACCCTTATTCACCGTTATCTCGGAGAAAAAAAGCACGATCAAACATTTTTGTTGTGATAATCATAGAGATCATCAGCAGGCGGTTTCATCGAATTTCCCGATAAATACAATTTTCATAGCAAAACTTGGATTTACAAGTAAAGTGGCAAATAACCCAGTTTCCAAACGAGTTCCAAAATGTCATATTTCTTTGAGACATTTCGTGTAACACTGGGCGGTCATCCTATGCTTAACGGGAAATTATACGAGCAACAAAAGCTCAACCAAGTAGAGGAAAACTCGAAATTACTTGCAGCAAATTTGATAACCACTTTAAATTCTCTCTCCCTCCTACAAGAAGAACAGACTGATAATCATATTCATACAGGTAAGAAGACTGTCGACAGAAACTATGTACAAACAAAACCAACAAATCACCTGAAGTTAATACAAATGGGAGCTACTTGTCATAGGTGAGCTATTTGTTGGTTTTTATATGGAAGCCAAATCAGGTGGGAATATGAGAAAAATGAAAAAACAAAAGCTAAATTAATTCCAAAAACAACAATCCACAACGAAAGTGAAATACTTGGGGAGCTGAAAATACCAAAACCCACCTAATCCAAAACATAAGTAAAACCCCAATTATAAACCTGAGTTAAACCTTCAATCAAACTCTAAATTAAACTATTAATAATACCCAAATTAAGTTATCAATCAGTAAAGATAAAAATGCAGAGAGACGGGTTTAACAGGTGTACCTGGTGTGAGCGAGCGAGTGGTGCTGCGACTGTGAGAGGCTGAGAGGAGATGGGGCCGAAGAAGGTGAATTTGTGGAATCAGAAATGGAGGAGAGAATGAAAAGAGAAGGCAGCAGCTGCCCGGGCTGCACGTGGGTAGAGCCCGCCATATTGGGCCTGGGGCTACCGGGCTTGCTAAGTGTAACCACCCTTCGGCCACTTAGTCCGAATCTTTTCGGCCAGATTTATTTTAGGCTTGCTGTTGAAGACAGTTTTGGGTCTTTTTCGGACTATGTTTTGGCCTATAGATCTTTGGCCGGCTCAGTTGGAGATGACCTTAAATTACACATTTTTTTATTTTAACTAATTGAATAGTTTGAGTTTTCAATTAGTACCTAAACTAAAAATGAGTTTTCAATTGGTTCAAAACTTAATCAGAGAAATTATGTTACTATAATAGTTTTTAAGCAACATTCATTCAAGCATCCTCTTAGTAGGAAGCTAGTTTGCATTGATCTGCTGAAGAATGGAGTGAAATACTAATTATCTGATTATCAGCACACTTGTAAATATGCACACGTATTACAACAGATTTGCACAGAAAACAAGTCCAAATCATCTGAACCACATATCAGCACAGAAAGCATGCACAATGTTACGAAAACCAGACCAGTTGAGAATAGATTGGACAGTAGAGAGAGGTTGCCCAATCAAGCATTAACAGGAAAATTGAGTATCAAGTTGCACAAACCTGCTTTGTATTAAGATTGAATGAACAGCAGAACATTTACGGAGTGAAATGTCTTTCGAGAGACAGCAATATTTAGTGATGAATTAGCCAAATAAGCCAACGAGCCGATTAGCCCTTTTGAATGATTACTCACATATTGTTGTAGACCTCATTCATTTTACTACTTTCTTTACGCCTTGAATGAATTGCAAAGCATGGTTATGGGTTTTCATTTTCTAAGTAAGTGAAAAATAAAGGGCTCGTTTGGATGTGCTTTTAAAATAACTGAAAACACTTTTAGAGAAAATATTTTTGGGTTCCAAAAGCACTTAAAGTGTTTTCTGCAAGAAGTACCAGTAATGTGCTTCTTCTAGGAAGCACTTTAAGTGTTTTTCAAGATTTATTTGCATTTTTACTAAAGATTGGTTCTAAAAACATTTTCACCAAAAGTGCTTTCAATTATTTTAAAAGCACATCCAAACGAGCTCAAATTTACTTATCGAATTAAATTTGTGAGGGTAGTTTAGATAGTAAATTTGGGTTTAAAGAGATATTGATAGTATAATTAAAAAAAATACATAAAAATAATAAAAAAAAAAGACTTTTTAGCCAAAATGGTCTTTGAGTGGCATAACTTTTTAATTTGGTTCTTAAAATTTGAAATCAATAGAAGTGATATATGGGTTTGTCCACCATCAATCAATCATTTTAGTTCTTCCATGAAAAATTATATTAAAGGATTAGAATGATTTGATGATGGATAAACTCAATGACCACTTTTATCGATTTCAAATCTCAAGAACCAAATTGAGGAATTATGTCAATCTCAGAGATCATTTTAGCTAAAAATCCTAAAATATGGGGGTAAATAATAAATTAGCTATAGAAAGAGATTATATTGGTTCAAATAAAATTTGATGGGGATATCTAGTCAAAGGACTATAATCAATATGCAATCTTAAACCAAGTTTTGATTACATTTTAATCTTATTCAAAAACGAAAGTTTACAAACCCCATAAATATATTAACTGTAAAGATAAATATGAGTAGTGTTTTTTTTTTTTTTTTTTTTTTTTTTTTTTTTTTCCAGATGAAACTATGAGGTTGTTTGGGAAGTGCCTTTAAATACTGAAAGTACTTTTATAAAAAAAAATATTTTTGAAATCAATCCTTAGTAAAAATGCAAATTAATCATAGAAAAAGACTGCAAGTGTTTTCTAAAAACGCTTTCATTAATTTAAAAGCATTTTCTAAACGAGCCTCATGAATAGTTACTGTATGCAACATTTGTTTTTTTAGCTTTTAGTGCTAACTAGAAAGAAAGGGAGACAGGAAGGCTCTCAGCTGGAATGTGTCTTTTGCCAATTTTCTTTTGGTTCACGTAGAAGTGGTATTGTCATGAGCACACCTTTTATCCTCCTTTGAATCATTCTTCTTTTCTGAGGAAACCTGTTCTTTATAAAAAAATTCAAAATAAATTAATTGTTTATTGCCTGTAACAACGATAATTTCTCCTGGAGACGATTTGGTAAACAACAACGTGCGATTTGAACTTTTGAAGGACATGAGCAGTTGTGGATTCTTACATCAGTATGTACGGCTTATTCAAATTTCTGAGGCATGCATGCTCTTAGTCATTTTTTATTCAAGTATGATTGAATATTTAAGGACCTATTTGGTCCAGAAGAAGTCGCAACTCTAAAATATATGACATTCTGACTAAAACTTTGTACTCTGGAAGATCAAATAAGTGATGAAACAAAAACAAAAAAGGTGAATTCCCAGATTTATCGATGACCGTTACTGACCTCGTCAAGAAAGCACTGCGTGGTGCCCTACGAATTCCACTTGTGAACTATTTTTTCACAAAAATGAAAATTATAAAGATATCTAGAGGTTTCTGGACCTACTGTGAATGCTGTTTATTATATAGCTAAGGTTAAATTACTTTTTTTCGGTCCTTCCTGTTTGGATATATTTCATTAATACAGCCCTAAAATTTTAGATACGTACTTTTCTAATTTGTCCAATTCAATGACAATGACTTGAGCTTGTGAATTACTTCGATTAAATTAGCAAATGTGAGATATGAGGATAAATTAAGAGAGTTTGAGGTCCGGCTAGCTACAATGCTATGTTCCTTAAGTCCAAGATTTAAAACGATGATTTTCAAATCACTCAGTAGTGTGCCATGAAGAAGAAATTGGAGAGTTTAATGTCCATCTTATATATTTTTAGTTTTTAATTTTCATTTTTTTATAAGAAATATAGGTGAAATATGATGGAGAAAAGAGGGATGACCAAAGGTACATGAAAGTGTACACAAATGAAACTGAAGACTCCTTTTAATAGGTTTTCTTTTCTAGTTTTTCTCTCTTACATTCGTATTTGATCTCTTTCCACACACTCCCTAACTTCATATATCCTTCATTCTTCACATCTTCGTACACATTACCTCCATCTTTATGTGTGTAAATTAAACACTTCACATGTACCACAGATCGCGCTAAATTTGTTGGCATAAGTACCATATTGTTAGGAAACATCACCCTAAAATTTTCCCTCTTAGGGTTATACTCGAGGAAAGTACCATATTGTTAGAACAATTAGTAAACTACAGAATTATACTGGAGAAAAATGCGCTAGAGTGCAACCTCACCTAAAATACAAGGACTAAAGCTATAAAATAAAATCCCACAATCAAGAGCTGACACGGATGTAGGCCATGACTGACCAATTCTTATCCCCTAAGCGTCAAATTTTAAACACGACCACCCACTCACTCCCACTCAATATAAACCCCCGTCATTAACCAAAACTCTAATTAAATCCAGCACACCTTTACATTTTTCTACAATATTTTTCTAAAGCCCCCAAAACAATGGCAGATCAAGAGAGCCAAATCTGGCCATTAGCACCATCCAGATTACACCGCAGAAGCGATGAAGAAAACCCCACTTTCAAAGCCATACGAAGAGAAAGAAGCAACAAATGTTTCGTCTACGTCTTCGCAGGCATCGTCCTTCAAAGCATAGTCATCCTTGTCTTTGCTTTGGTTGTTCTTCGTGTCAAACCCCCCGGTTTCAATCTCAGCTCTGTCCAGATCAAAACTCTGAAGTCCACATCTTCTCCAGCAGCTTCGTTCAACGCAACGTTATCTACTGAGATGGCGATAAAGAACAAAAACTTTGGGCAGTACAAGTTTGAGGGGAGTAGCGCGAGCTTGTGGTACGGAGAGTTCAAAGTCGGCGAAGCTAAATTTGCAAATGGAAGCGTGAAAGCGAGAGGGACTCGGAAGGTGAACGTGAGTATTGAAGTGAGGTCTAATAGGCTGCCTAAGGATGTTCAAAATGGTGGTTTAGGGAGTGAGATTAATTCTGGATATTTGAACATTAGCAGCTATGCAAAGATTAGTGGGAGAGTGCATCTGATGAATATCATGAAGAAGAGGAAGACTATTGATATGAATTGCACCATGGTTCTTGTTTTGAAGAATAAGACAGTTAAGGATTTAGTATGCAAATAATGATTATTTTAGGTAGTATTTTTGTTAATGATATTGGTATAGTTTGTATTTTGGGATTTAGTTTACAGATCTAGTTTCTAGAAATTCAATCATTAATTTGTTAATTTGCTTGCTTAATACTTGATCCAAATTTGTATGTTGTAATATATATATATCTATAATACATTTCATCTTTCATAGAAAGTTTGTGTCATTTTTTGTTCGCATATTTAAATTGCTAGTGATTGTAACACTCACCTTTCATTTTTTTGCACTTGTCATATGAGTACAAAAACATCGAAAAATACTCAATTTGCGTGCAAATGGCTAAAAAATTAGTGACAAAATTCCTATCCATTTCAATTATAAGATCTGAGATTTCTTCATGACCAGGTTTTTCTCTTCTTTCTGTCCACTTGATCACAGCTGTGTTTCACCAAACAAATGGGTGATATATATAAATGCTAGCATATAGTGCCATATGGAAGTTTTTTAGTAAGATTAAGACGTGAATCCATAACTTAGCTCAGTCAATACTTCGAATACATGCTAGAAAACGAAAGGAGAAAGACGTCCTTTTCTTTTGGCCAGGAATTCGGAACGCATATACGTCTTGGCTTAAAAAAAAAACAAACGCCAAGTGAATCGATTCCTCAACTGTCGGTAGCCCAATGGCATGCTTCTGTGTAGAGAAATGGGAAATCTTGTACTTGATTATATTTTTACTGGCACTAAAAGCATCACCCAAAAAGTCTAAATCCCTATCGTTCATAATTAAAGGTTAATTAGGAGGTGGTTATCATTACTATAATTCTGATTAAGTGTTTGTTAGATTGAAATTGGAGGTGTCTGTTGAGGTCATAGACTCTGTGGCTCCTGGCTGTTAACATATAACTTTTTTTTCAATTTGGTTTGTTCCCCAGATTTAACGTTCCCCAGGTTTGATCTATTATCACAACGTGGAGCATGTTTCTTTGTCGGTTTTTGCTGCTGGCTGTAACGTCTGTTTCAACTTTCAATCCTCTTCCTTCCTGTTTGATCTCGACATCCTGCCAACGTTTTATGCATGCAAAAAAACACACGTAAATTGACCTATATTGGTATGAAGTGAGCTAATTTGGGCCTGTGTCAATGAGTAAGTCTATAATTTTTTTTGGCAAACGAGTAAAGTCTGTATACTATATATCAGACTAACTCTCTTCTTCCTGTTTGATTTCTTCTCCTTCACTCTCTTTCTTGACTACGACGTTGTCGTATTTAATTTGAGCATATTTGGATAATCTCTTATCTCTCCTTCACATAGTTTGTTCTTTTTTGTTTGATCAGATGCGTTACTAGTCTTCTTCATGTGAGGTCTCTTCTAATTAGTTAAGGTTGACGATTCGGGATAAGGGGTTCTGTCTGCATCGTGTTGCTTCTTGTTTGTGTGGAAATGGTCAACTTTAACCATTCAGGGCATGTTTCGGATTGTTTTCGGAATAGGTAAAAGTATTTTCTAAAAATCAAAAACACTTAGTGCGTTTTATAGAAAAAAATTAAAATGTTTATGAGTCCTAAAATGTTATGCGAAGAACCAAATGTCAAATGGGCTTGGACTTTTGGTGCTCCCAGGCAACCAAAAGTCTTCTACAATTCTAATTCTATATAGACCCAGTTAACTTGTGTAACCATTCACACCATGATTCACTCGGCAAACCTCATTACGTGGCTTGGGCTCATGTACGTGTGCCACATGCTTGGAGTGACTCAAATTGTAATATTAATGTACCGGAATTGTTATTAGCACTCCAAAAATCTCATTCTACACTCCTCACAAGTGTATTTTTCTTTCTAAATATGGAAAGCTTGAAGTGACAAATGAGATTTTTGGAGTGCTAATAACAATTCTCTAGTGTATTATTATTATAATACCACTTGGCATGATAAATATGCGTGATTTGCGTGGGTGTGGCATCCAGTAAACTATTATATATTAGCGTGGTATAATCGTAAATTTGCATACTCTTAGTTTCACACATTATTCATGGATTTAAACTTGGCTTATGAAGCTTCCACAACGATTGGGCTTTAAGACATGATTGTGTTTGTAGGTAAGATTTTTGGGCCCCAACATTAGCCCCTTGATTATTTGGCTATGAAAGAATTGAATAAGGCTGAAGAATCAAACTCCGACCCAAAACTGCAAAACACGTTCTACTTGGTGGGACTCTTTCACTTCCCACGTGCCACCTGACGACTGCGTGATGATGCTTCTCCTAGTTTCCAATGCATAACTCACCTTCCTAAGGGAACTCCAGGTATTCTTGTTGGTTGAAGGATAGGAGTTTGATGCTCTTCTTTTCTTAAGACAAATCTTCATTCTTTCCCACTTTTCCTTGTTGATTTCCATTGGGATTTGGGCGTGTCTGCTTTTTGGAATTTTGTTCATGTTGCTTCGTTGAAAGCAGAATTTTCTTTTGATTTTCCCTCTGCTTGCATGTTTACTAGGGATTTTGGGGTCTTCATGCTTGTCAAGTTTTGGTGAGTATTGAGGCTTGAAGGTAGAGGTACGAATTCACCAGGAAAATTAAGCTCATGGTTTCTGTAGTAGGACCGTCTTTCTTGATAATTTTGTATGACATTGTTGTCTTTTTTTGTTCCCATGCATGCTCTCTACAATTGCGGATTTGTAGGTCTAGCTTGATTGTTTGATAGTGCTTTTCGAGTAGGGTTTGTCTAGGTACAATGACTAGTTCGGCATGATTACTTTATCATAGTTAACTTGGCATGATTAATCCTTCATGTGTGCTTTATTAGCTTGCTTTTGACATAGACATCCGCATGGCATGCTTCATGTTCCCTTCAAGGATTATTCAAGTGCTTATTGGCATGGTAGGAAGCCGACCTCATCCCTCCTATGTTGAACCCACCTACATCCCCTCCTCCACCTCTCTCTGTCGACCCATCTCTTAAACGCTTCTCTTCTTTTATGTCGCAACCATGGCAGGGGCATTGCACCAGCTACAAAATCCGCTCACTGGTCCCATCTCGCCACCATAACCAAATACCAACTTTCACTGGACTTCCCCTCCGTCGTCGTCATCTCCTTCACCTCCTTCTCTGTTGCCGTTCGACAACAGGGTCATGGCATGGTTTTCGTTTTGGGCTTGCTCAATTTCGTTGCCATCAGAAATCAAACACCACCGTATTATCCTCACTATCTAACCGATTCACTCTTCGATTTTGATTTTGCAATTTAATATATTTAATTTCAATTCAATTGCAGTAACTGAAATTTTAGTTTCAACTAGGATTCATGCCTGCGCGATGCGACGGGTCGTAATTAACAAATACATATAAAAAGGGGCAAGTAAAAGAGTTCATGAATTTTCATAGCGTACCAAGTTAGTAGAAATGTACTCCAAGATGACCAGGTCAAAAAGAGATTCCTTCACTCTCAATATGGTTTATCAAAAGTAATGTCTTATTTCTTCAAGCCAAACATGCCAATCACAACTACAAATACTAACAATTGTGCAAAAGAGTTATAGAAACACTCATGTACGATATAAGAACAAACCTCACAATTGGTCTTAAGAATTGTTTTTCCAAAGAGACCCATTACAATGCGATCTGAAAGAAAACAAAACATGAATAATATCAAGGAAAATGCATTTTCTTTGTCAAGTAAAATCTACGGCAGGTAATGAACAAAATACAAAGTTCTCAGCTTTAATTTAATTATTATCAAATATTGAGGGAAATTAACAACTACCCAGAAATGTTTACTCAAAATTAATTGATAATATGAATAATTAAATTACACAACATTTACAAAACCCAAAGTTCTTAGCTTAATTTGATCATACCATTTAAGTGGAAGAAGTAAAAAATTACACATAAATGTTTGCACACAATTAATTGATGAAACAACCAATTGGGCAATCAAACCCCCTCTCTCATATCACCTAACGGCAAGATCTGAACCCTTGACGGGGTAGTGTGGTCATTTTGACTCCCAAACTGTAGTGATCCCCAGCAAAAGAAACCGGCAAACAAAGAAAAAACAACAAACGATGAGCAATAAAATTCACAGACCATAATACACAAAATTCCCTATAACGTAAATTGATAAAGCATTTTACCCAATCCAATTGAATTCCTGATCACAACACATAAGATAAACTAATAAACCATTTTATCCAAATAACCATTTAATTTTAAACATTTAAAACCGAAGAGAACCAAACGCGCATATTTGGAAAAAAATGGAGTGTTTTGAATATATAAATCTCACCCTCAGCACTTTAAAAATGCAGCGGTCCCAATGGAAAGAGAACTTGCAAAACAGTGTCCCAGCACAAACACAACATATAAAACAAACAAACGAAGAAAAAAAAAATTTAAAAACCGATAGTGAAGATTAAAATTCAAAAATCCTAGGATACAAAATCGCAAACGACATAAAAATTAATAATAAAAGTTATGAAAAAACAGAAACCGCTTGACACCAAATGCTTGACGCCAACGACGACCCCAAAGGCAAGAAAAATCTCAAACCAGTTAAGAAAAAATTAAGAGTCCATTCCTCTGTCATATTCTTTTCCCCTGTTTTGCTACCCCTATTCCCAAATGTGTCTTCGATTCTCTTTGTCCCCTTTTTCTCTCACCCTAATATCTCACCTGCAAAATCTTAACGCTGCTGCCTTCCCCCACCAACAAACCCTCAACACCCAGTAATGCTATTTTCTTCCATATCTATAACAAAAAATGCATGCATAAACACGGTAGAAATTTGCAAAAACCCACAACACAACCTAACTAAAAATCTCACGGATTAAAAGTTTCACCCAAAAGAATCCCCCATCTCTCTTATCAAATGAAAACTCCAAAAGCAATTCAATGGTTGATAACAACCCATTTAAAATTGAACCCAAAAAAATTAAAAGCTTCTCTCACATTGATTAGTTATTCATTCTGCACCTGCATTTTACTAATTCTACGTTAAGAGTTCCATGTTCAACTCAAAAAAGCAGATTTTAACTAAAAGAACGGACAATAACACCATATGACCGTGTTATGATAAAAAATGATTAACAAAGTTTCGCTCAAAAAGCAAAGCGTAAAAAAAATCCCAAAAACAAAGATCGGGATCTCTTCATCCGAATTATAAGTATTGTATATAAGTCTTCAAATACAGGACTAATGTGCTATAAGTATGGTGTGTGAAAAGTATTTACAGAACGTTGTTCCAAATCAATAGTTGAACAGAATAAAGTATTTACATAACGTTGTTCCAAATCAATAGTTGGACAGCATAACATGATAAACTTATTTTGAGCAGCAAAGTGAAAAACTATCTAGCAACACAATCTATCAAGAGATGTAAGTTCTCTATATACATATATATTTATGTCAACTTGTCATATTTTATAAAACTAAAAGCATGACAATAAAGGAACCATGACTGCCATAAGTCATATCCGGCAACTGCTTCAGCCACCCCCACTGGAATTTAGGGTTGAGTGCATTTCATTCGAAAATCCATCACTATGAAAAATGAAAACAAAAAATCAATTCAAATCCAACATATCCAACAACCCAAATATTATAATAATCTAATCAGACAATAAACAATTAGAGATGAAGCTTAATTACCATAAAGAAATGAAGGGTTGTCTGGTAGAAGCTAGTTGAAGCTTCATCAAATATATAGAGGATGATCAAACAATCAGAGACTAATCTCAATTACCTTTCCCGTTCCCGGAAAATCACTTCCAGGCCCACTATGAAATATTAGAAGGTCCGTAAACTCATAAGGCTAATATAGTAAATTAAGTCTCCTTCTATCCCTTGCAACGCAAAGCAAAAGAAAGACCCTCCTTTTCATAATCCCATACAGGGTGAGGTTAACACTTGCAGAGAGGGAAAATGGCTTATCACTTATGCCATATCTATTGTCTAACATACCTTGAACTGCCAACTCCACGATTCCCTAGGCTAGCAGATGCCATACCGACGTCTAATCACTTCACTACTCCAACACAACAGATGACGCTACTACCTCCCTTCCTCGTAACACTTCCTGCTCCTACGTCCATTCCCATCCAAGCACCTATCTTTCCATTCCCATCCAAGCACCTATCTTTCTATTAAACAACATAAAAATTCAAATTCAAATTTCTTTCCACAAAAGCATTAATTAAAATTAAAATTCATAAAACATAGAAATTGAGCTGAAATTGCTGAAACAAAATTCAAATGAAAAAATTTTAAAATTGCAGAGTCAATTAATTACTTAATTTAGCTCGGATCCACACCAAACTCACTCCAATTTTTTAAATTAAGCACCAAATACAAATACAAATTTAAAAACCACCGCCGATCCTCCGAAAGCAATCGGACTCCAACAAAACAATTAATTTTCGGCATTTTCAAACGCAATACATCCAAATTCAGAAATCGGTTCGGACGACTGATCTGCAAGCGTTTCGGGGAGGCCTGGAAGCAGAGCTCGAGCATTTTAAATTCCGCTCCGCTCCTGGAATTTTTTAGATTTGAGTAGAAAATTTGGGAAGGAGAAGAATTTGATCGGAGAGAGTGAAAATTCAAGATCAAACACTAAAATACGAAACTTTACCTTTTTCCTTCTCAAATCTGACATCTTCGAGAGCTCTGCCCTACTTTTGATGGTCGTATCTGAGTTCATTTGTGGGTGTCGGCGACTTGCAACGAAGGTGGATCCACGAAATGGAGGTTGATTCGTGGGCAGGAGGAAAATTCAATATGGGTTCGTGTGGAGGTGCATCGGTGATTGTTGAACGGATTTAACTGAGATGATGAAGAGGAATGGGGTGAGCAGCGCTGGGGCTAGGTTGAGAGAAATGGGAGAGAGAAGTCTCTCGAATTTGAGAGAAATGAGAGAGAAACAGTGCTAGGGTTGTAGGAAATGAGCTCACAGAGTGAGAAAAGGAAAGGATGGGCGATTTGATGGATGGTTATCGACAGAGTCGGGAGAGAGAAAGAGGGAAAGAAAAGGCGGTGGCAATTTTGTAAATAAAGTGAAATTCGGCTCAAACCCACGGACACAATTACCCCCTAACTTTTAAGAATTACCTTCCCAACCCAGCCCAGATCTGATGGTTTTTGTTGTAAATAACGTGAAATCGAGGGGCAAACAATTGACTGTAGCCATGAACAGTGCCAATTCCCCTCCCACTTAGAATAGATAATGTTTTTTTTTTTTTTAAATTTAACAACAAAAATTTAGATTGAAGTTGAGAGGTGGCTGAAAGATAATGAAAAGGTCGTGCATGAGAGGAAGAAGAAGCCTTAATTTCTTTTCTTTCTTTTTTTACGTGGCACAAACATCTTGACCGTGGAAATATATTTCAAGGGCTAAGAAAGACGGGAAGGGATAAATATATCATAAATAATAAAGTACAAAAAAAATTATAGTAATGGTTACTCAACTTTAACTCAATTGGATCAATAGTCCATCAACTTTATTTTCTTGATCATTAGTCTCTCAACTCGTTAAAATGTGTAGCTATGATTCTTTTTGTTCACTCTGTTAATATTTCCGTTAAATTCAATCATGTTCGTGGCATGTGAGACTGATTGTAAGGGCAAATACGGAAAATTTGTTTCGTGAGGGTTGAAGTTGATCGAACACAGCAAGGCTGGAGGCTACGAAGGAAAACATGCCCAATTGAAACTTCCTCCATCCCCATTTGAAACTTCCTCCATGCCCAATCTCATATTCTACATATTCTTCAAACCCTTGAGGTTGAAACAAGCAAAGTTACAGCAAAAGCAGCCACTGGAAGTTGATATAAAAATTGTCCCAGAGTAAAAGATTGCCAAACGATAGAATTATATTCCTCCCATACTCTCCCTGCTCATATCCATCCTTATTGGCTTCTTGGTACTACTAGTAACGCCTTCATGCCTTCTCTTCATCTGCAGTGGCTTCCAGATCGTTCATGGTGCAGTAAAGCCGCCTTCTCTTCAAGATCATTCATGTTTCTGCTGTTGTTTTCCTTCACTAAATCCTGATTATTGCAATACATGGTGGAAATTTGAAGGATATGAGATTGGACATGGAGGAAGTTTCCAATGGGGATGGAAGAAGTTTCAAACGGACATGGAGGATTTCAATTGGTGATGTTTTCCTTCGTAGCCTCCAGCCCCTTTTGCTGCGTTTGATTAACTTCAAACTTGCGAAATTATGTTTCTTTATTTGCCTTTACAATCAGTCTCATGTGTGAGGCACGTGATTCAATTTAATGGAAACATTGACGGAGTGAACAAAAATGATCATAGCTGCGCATTTTAAGTAGTTAAGGGACCAATGGTCATGGAAATAAAGTTGAGAGACCATCACTCCAATTGTTCAAAAATGACAATTAAAAATCCTTCAGTCCTATGCCATTATAAACATTGTACCAAACGATAGACAGTACATGAGTATGTTCATGTTCTGTCAGTCATTTAATCTTTTCGTTCCATTCATCCTGCGCATACCAAACGCGGAACAGAACAATTGTCTCATTCCGGCTTGCGGTTACCAAACATAAGACATAACCTTTGTTCAATCTCATTCCATCCCGTCCCATCCACATACCAAACAGTACCTTTCAGTGTAACATTGAAGAGTGTTACTAACCTTGTGAAGCCTAGGTTGGGCACATTGCCCATAGTGTCTTCTTCCAACGCTAGTTTCCATACTCTCCTTTTGGCAACACTCCTCCCTGCTTTCTCCTATTTTTCATGTGTGAGCTTAAAAGGGAAAACCTCTTTTTTGCACAATTAAAGGCCGCGCAGCTCCAGGTAAACATGTGATTTGGTTTTGATTTGATTAGCTCAGCTTTGGGTTTTGGTTGTTTCAGAAATATCCTAGTTGGTTTGTAAGGGAAAGGGGTAACTTGGTCTATTATCTCTCAAACCTTCCCATGTGAAACCGAAATCATGAGCTTGGACTTTTGGTGCTCCCAAGCAGCCTAGAGTCTTCCACAATTCTAATTCCACGTAGGCCCAATGAACTTCCATAACCATCCATACCACAATCGCTTGGTAAGTACCGTTACGTGGCTTGGGCTCATTTAAATGTGTCGCGTGCTTGGCATGACTTGAAGTGTAATATTAATGTATTAATATTATAATACGGCTTGGCACAACAAATATGCATGATTGCAAGGGATTGATGTCCAATAAACTATTATTTTATTAGCATGGCATGATCGTAAATTTGCATACTCTTTGTTTCGCATATTATGCATTGATTTAAGCTCGGCTTGTGACGCTTCAACAACGATTGGGCTTTGAGACATGATTGGGCTTGTAGGTGAGATTTCTGGCCCAACGCCCAACAGTTCTCTCTCTCTCTCTCTCTCTCTCTCTCTCTCTTTCTCTCTTTATCTCTCTCTCTATAAAATTTATGCTATCTCTCACTCACACCCATACGTCTCACATCCACTTCATCACTCATCTCTCCCTCTCCCTCTCCCTCTCCCTCCCCAATTAATTTGAGGTTTTTTATTTGTTAAATTTTTTTGTTTAATTGTGTAATTAAACAAAAAAAACTGTAGACCCCTTGTTGAGGTAAAAAAAAAAAAAAAAAAAAGTGGTTCCCTCCCCCAATTAATTTGAGGTTTTTTGTTTGTTAATTTTTTTTTTGTTTAATTGTGTAATTAAACCAAAAAAACTGTAGACCCCTTGTTGAGGTAAAAAAAAAAAAAAAAAAAAAGTGGTTCCTTAATTCAGGGAAAGTGGAGTGAAGATGAAAGTGGCAGTAAAGATTAATGAGACGGATTAAAATGTGAGTTTTAACAAAAAGTTCACGGTACTATTCAATTTAACGAAAAACCATATTTTTATACTAAAAATTCAATCCTGGTACTATTCACTTTACCCTTTATTTTGTTCTTATCATTAAAATTCAAAATTTTCATGCCTTTTTTATTAGTTTTCCTTAAAATAAAAGAAATCTACACCATTCATCTTTTATTTATAAACAACTAAAAAAATGAACGAAACAAAAAAAGGGGAGAGCAGTAGCTCCATGTTGCTGTAAAGAAAAAGAAGCAGGAGATGGTTCCATACACCCATTCTCTCATCCAATAACTGTAAAAAAAATAAAAATAAATAAAAAAAATCTATAAAATGGTTTAGACCTGATAATTTCTTACACGATCAATTAACATGACATGCAAACGACACGAAAATAACTAGTTTTGGATCAACACATTAACTAATCGGGTCATTATCGGATCACACAATATGAACCCACTAATAACGAGTCATTAACAAGTTTACACAACAGAGACACATGAGTAACCTGTTGCGACACGGCAAGAAAAGTTATTTTAATGATTTTAATTTTTTAAACTACTAAAAAATTTACTACAAAATATGATAGATATAATGGATATGTATATATTGTTTATTAATTATTATTGTATTATTATTCTACATAAATTTAAAAATTTACGTTCTATTTATTTATTTATTTTTATTGTGACATCCCGTCCCGGAGTTATCGGAACCGTACGCGTGAAATTACCATTTTACCCCTAGTTACTTTGTTATGTTGTTTGGTTGTTTGTGTGGTGTTGGCAAACTTGGGCCACACACACACACACACACACACACTGTCTCACTCACCCTCACCCTCTGTCTCTGTCTCTGTCACTCTCTCTCCCTCCCGTGTCTCTCTCTCCCCCTTCTTCTCCACCTTTACGTACGGACATACACATACACACCCTAAAACGTCACAGATCGAGGGATCCAAGGCTACCATTGAACTCGTGGAGCTGAGAGGAGTCTAGTGGTGCCATTTTCAGCTTGTAGTTGTGTTAGTGAGGCCTCAAGGAGCTTGGGAATACTTCGTTGGGTGAATTTGGACGTCGGGAAAGCTTAGTTTCAAAGTTGGCCGAACTTGGATCGTTGTTGCAGGTGACACGTACCCAGAGGACGAGCGTGCACATGCGAGACAGGGGGGCTACGACCCTTCTACATACCAGTGAGTGGGCTTTTGTTTTCCGTATATACCTATATACATTTATATTCCCAGAAATTGATTTAAAAAGGGTTAATTGCCTTATGCCATGTACTTTATTATTTATCGTTTATGCATCGTTGCATGCATTATTTGTGGCATACATATACATATGCATATGTCATATATATTTATGTGTGGGTGCTGTGGAGGCATAGGTAAGTGCCAGGTAAGCGTTAATTAACGATTGCATTACTTAGAGTTTAGAGATGCTTGGAGAGCTCATAACCTGCACCCCCGGTGTTAGTGCTCCCGCCCAGAGTAGGGCACAGTCCTTCACGTGTTGTTCACCTCCCGCACCATACGCTCAGCTTGGATCCAAGTTAGGTGCATAGGCCTGTCGTACAGACCACAGTAGGTGGTTCCGACTCGTAGGTGACCCGCGAGTACTCGCACAGCCCTCACGTGATCGTAGCACTAGAGCGTATATACATGTTACACCCAGGCCTGTCGTACAGACCCCTTTAGGTGGTTCCGACTCGTGGGTAGGTTTATTTGTGAGATTGATATATTGAGCTCTATATACAGCCGTACAGGTCACGTTAGGTGACTCCGGCTGTCCGAGGATTGGGTGATTGATACGACTCACACCTGAGCACTTGCATATCATTAGGAGATTTTGACATAGCATATATTGAGCATGATTGGCATACCCTTGAGCATGTTTGGGCATATCTATACATACGTACATATGTTATTTTTCTGGGAAGTATACAGGTTTTACGGCGAGGGGTTAGATTGTGTTTTGCTAAATGGTTTTCAAAGAGCTTTGTTTTTGCCCACTCACGCTTTTGTTTTGCGCCCCTCCAGGTTCTAGTTGCTTAGCCGTTGCGGTGGTTTCCCTTGCGAGCTTTTCGGCGTTCTGACAGACACTCCACATTGTAGGGTCGCCTTCGGGCGTACTACTGTTGTTGTTTTATTTGGACTGCTATAGACCTGCTCTGAATTTGTATCGCACTAACTAGCACTTATTCTAGTACTAGTATGCTAGTTTTTAATTATTCGTACTTTTATATTACTACTCTTTTAGCTTCCGCAAGTGCACATGGCTACGTCGCCTTTGTGTGACGGCCAGCACGCTCCTATCTCGGTCGGGGTGTGTCATTTATAGTATACTATTGGCAAAGAGTGAGATTAAAAAATTATAGTAAACATTAAAAATAAAAGTATGAAGGAATTTAAAAATACCAAACACATATGCAAACG